CACTAGGTATTTATATATATGAGCAAGTTCAATCGCAACAAATACTTTCCCCCGGGGGTGTTTCGAATAAAACGATATTATTCGTCGCATATAATAACAGTATTTACAGCGGGAGTGGCTTTTCTCGGAGGTAGCAGTTGGGGCTCGTACAATACACACGAACCTAATCTTTTAAGGCTTGCTCCCCTTGGGACGTGACAAATACAATTGCTTTCTGCCTTCAACTTAGTTATTCTACTTCTATCTGCATTCTATTACCTGGCGACCAGATAAATTGAGGAATATACGTATGTAGGCTTTAAGGTTGTCGTATGCAGTTATAAGAGTCTTAGGTTCGTCCAAAAGACTAATATTAAAGACAGTCGAGCGAAGCAGCCAGAGCCTGGTAGTGCAATTTTTGCTACTCGACACTTTCACCTCAAATGGTCCGATAGTAGCCTTGTCTCACAAAAAGATAAACAATTCGGGTATGGTGCTCCGATACGGGCGGCTGCTTGTATGTATTCGGAAGCTATTACTACGGAACTTTAATGTTCCGGGTATGCATCTCATATACGGGCCAGTACATGAAGTATATTGGAACTGCGTCATTTTATTTGGTTTTCGCCCCTAATCTGCTGGTCCTCACAGACATCAGGCCCTTCAATATAGAATGAAGTACTCATGATCACACGCTGACTACATATAGTATCTCTGAAAACCGTTGTTAGATTACATTGTGTGGAAATAAACTATTGTAGCTGCCATTAGAATATCAGCCGTTGTGCTCGGCGGAGTAAAGAGACGCGTCGGTGTTAACTGTACTTGTTGGGGGCCGAAGTGAAGGCAAAGACCGCGCGTAAGAGCTATTAGTATGCATTGGCAAAATTACGTCTTTATTGTTTTATATAAAGCAACGTAAAAATTACTTACAGCTATTAGATATCCTAATATCCTAGGTATACTCCTCAATAGACTTCATCACTTGTTTATGACCATATTTTACAGCCACCTGTGATGGAGTCAGGGCATCTTTGTTCAGAGATTTCGGATTCGCACCGTTCTGCAGGAGAAATAATGCTGCCGCACTCTGGCCATCTCTAGCCGCTTGGTGTAATGGTGTGAATCCATGGTCACCTGCGGCTTCAATATCGGAGCCTCGCTCCAGCAGCAGACGCATGGCGCCCATTTGGCCCCTTCTGGCTGCACTGTGCAGTGCCATGTTTCCAAACTTATTCCTGGCCGTCACTCTAGCACCTCGGTTGAGCAGCACACGGACTACCTCCTCATTGCCTTCGGCTGCTGCCTCATGCAAGGCTGTGCTTCCCCAACTGACTCTTGCATGAATATTAGCGCCACGATCCAACAGGAGCAAAACCACGTCATCATGGCCTTCACGGGCTGCCCAGAATAAAGCAGCCCGATTCTCTTTGTCCCTTGCCGCTATATTTGCGCCGTTGTCCAATAGACGCTGAACTTCTTCTTGGTCCCCGTCTCTAGCGGCGCGGTGCAATGCTGTCAACCCATCATTGTCTTTTGCCTCCATATCCCTATCCACAGGGCGCTCCAGCCCCGGAACAATCCTCTCCGACATGTTAAGAAGAAGCTCTCTTGTGTAAGAGGCCGCCGTGGCGGCGCCATATTCCTGCCAGTCCTTGTTTTTGTGTGAATCTGAATAGTCACAAATGCCCCGAACAACTAGACACGGGAACTCATCCATTAAGCCGGCTGCTTCCATCTCAAAACAGATGGCATTGTGGAATTGTCCACTTATCTTGTCTCGAGTAATTTCCGATTTCATCACTCGATCCCCGGAGAGGATGGTACCGTAATGTATATAGACTTCATCTGCAGGGTTGCGCCCGGCACGCTGGATTTCGAACTGTTTGTCATGCTTATTACAATCAGAACCGGGCTCATGGCGGTAGTCGGCCAAAAACAGGCGATCTAGGGCGGAAGGGCGTCTGTATCGCTCTCGCAAGCGTGGGAACTCATTAAATCGGCGGAGGTGCGTGGTGAAAAAGCTTTCGTCGCCGGCCTTTTGCCTTAGATATTTATCTTCCACGGCATTAACCACACGAAGCATTAAAGCGGGTGGTTTGTTGAGTGTTTTAGTCACTTCAAATCCTGTGGTTGTTTCCTTTCCCAAGTCATACTGGACTACTGCAGGGCCTACCTCTGGCGCTCCAACGACGACATCTCCTAGTCGTACGTCTTGGTTAGGGAGATGAGGAACACCTCCTCCAATGCCCACCAACAATCCAATGGATATATTATTGAACGACCAATGGATACTCGCTACGACGTCTGCGATGGCTACCTTTCCCTGGGCACCTCGGGCAGGTCCGACTATGGCGACATTATGCTTCCCTATGCGACCCAGTACGTATTCGTTCTTATCTCCCATGGCTAAAGAAACTCTTTCGTACTCTTCATCCAACATTACTGTGATGGCATTCATCTCGAGCGGTTTCACGTAGATGAGCCCGATAGTGTAGGCGTCTGCCGGGAGAAGCTTTTTTGGGCTCATTATCGGCAGGATTGCTGGAAAATACTCGGTTGATTATGTAACATTGATTCCTATGAACGAACCTGTGGGCGCAGCGGAGGGGCGTTGAGTCGGATTCGGGAAGAGAAGCCGTGTGAGAAGTTGTATCCTAATTGTGATGATGAGTCAAGTTCGCGTGGAAGTAGAAGTGGGACAACAGCCGGCAGGGCAGCCCGATGTTGGATGGCAATTGAGCAGCCCTCGACTTGTCACGTGATGACATCTAAATCCGTGCCTCTCATCGCGCGCCGCGTGTCGTCCCGGCTTCGGACGTTCCGTCTGCTAATGACATGAAGCCTCCAGCCACTATTGTAGTATAAGGCATTTCCACTGTGGAAACAAAATGCTGTGAACCCAACATTAACTGGCAGTGTGCCCTGCCCACCGTTTCCGCTACATAACGGGTTTTGAGCTAAACATCTTGACACTCTCAGCTCTGGCAAAGATTTCCTGGGGACAACACTTTGACAAATTGTATGGCGAAGTAAAGTGCAGGTAAAACCGAGAGATGGTACTGCAAGCGTAAACCCGATCGTTTGATATTAGTGGAAGGCACAGAGAGACCAGTGAAAAGGCCGCGAGCCAGGCCCATTGGTGAACAACCTATGATCTAGCGATATCGCTACATCTCTGATGGATTCTGTGCCAGTTGCACACTGCGCCTCGTCTGTGCGGCCTTCTGATCACTGTGTCTGTGGACCCTTATGCTCCCTGGAGCTGCCTTTGCGTCTGCATCTTGTTCTGTGGCTAAAAGCTTACATGTAGTTATGTGTAACGCCACGGTGGGGTGTGTTTGGGGCTCTTCGGCACTCGCGGCGACACTAACATCAGCCTGGAGTGGTCGCGAGCTAGTCTGTAATCTTTAGTTTGGGTATAGGCCTTCACACGGTAATTGGCACTTAGGTACCAGTGGGTTAGTGTTGTGTATTGACATGAGACTTCAGGGTCGGCCCCTTTTTATTCAAACTACTCGAGTAAATAATATAGAACTTAATATATTTCAAGCCGGATATTTAGCTGTTAGTGCAAGCCGCTCTTTCCCTTTATTCCGTACAAGGTCAATAGTATACAGGCCGCCCCCGAGCCCATTGGCGTCGACGCATCGCTGCACCTCCCGGTCATTGATCCGATGCGCCTCTTCCAGAACAGCCACAGTCTCGTTGGAGTACATGTGTGAAACGGCCTGCCAGTAGTTTCGCAGCAAGGAATGGCGCGTATATCGGGCAAACAGGCCCCCGACAACCAGCACCACGACCCAGTGCGTTAGTAACAACCCCATGGCGACGCCAAAGCCGGTCCAACGAGTCGGAAGCACGGCCACGTGTGAGAAGGCACTTTCGGCAAGCCCGCTCTCGTTGAGCCGCGGTAGCGTCTCGTAATAGACCATCTGGCAGATACGTGTGAGAAGCGCCTGCAGGGCGACGGCAGGGCTCTGCGTCTGGTTAAGAGTATCCTGAAATAAACTGGTGTGCGCCTCGTGTGCGTTGAAGTCCATTTTTTGTATACGCCGGGAAAGGATAACGCCCTGGTCTGCGGTCTGGTTACCATGGACGGGATTCCTGTCGCTGCTTTGCGGGTTCTGTAGGCTGGAGGCAAGGGCCTGCACGAAGGTCCAGATGCCGCTGGGGGGAGACACAATGGTGGACGTGTTGGAGGAGATGTTGGACGGCAGCTCGTATGTTTGAGGGTTGAAGAAGTGTTGCCAGTCGGACCGAGGCCCGAGAGCCAGCACGCCCCGGCGGTCTAGTGGCGGCCGGGGAAGGGCGGCACCCAACTGGGCGCGCGCAGTAGTGGTGTTGTAGCGCTCTGCGGACGGTTCCCAGGACGTGATGGGCTCCAGCCCGTCCCAGTTGCTGCGCAGGTCTGCGACCAAGGTGTCGACGCCGTGGTTGACCATGCAGGCCGTCACCCGCAGCATGGGGGCACCGGCCCCGTTGTCGACCATGGTCCACGGGCTAGCGGCATCGTTGCTTCCGACATGGATTGTGTGGGCACGCGGCGCGTGGCCGTAGGGGGCGGCGGCCGGGGAGACAAGGTCCAGGAGCATGTACATGGTGGATTCCGCCCACGACACCAGAGGGTCTGGCAGCCAAACGCTCCAGCGTGCGTCGTCGAGAGGCCAACACAGGCTCGTCAGTCCTTGCGTTTGGGCACCTGGAGGAGGGAACAAGACGGTGGGCAACGCGCACCTGAACTCGACGTATGGCTGACTCCCCATCTCCCGCAGCATCGGATACGTGCCGTTGGCGACGGAGAGTTGTCCGGACAGGCGCGCGTAGCTTACGTCCCGCACATCCAGGCCAAGGTCACGCAGCGCCGGCTGCACACAGACGACTCGCTGATCCATGATGGGGACCGGGCCGCGGAACGAGCGCAGTGATGTCCGCTGCGCCGCCTCGGCGTAGGGCAGGAAGGCGCGGTACGTGTGCCCTGTGTCGTGGTACCCTGGCCCACTGACAAACGGCGCGTCGGACGGCGTGTGCTCGGCAAACGTCCAACTGGCCGCCGGGGGCATTGACCACCACGCACTCGCTGGCAACATTGAAAAGTTTTTCAAAATCAAGACATTCGTCGCGTTGCCCCTGTCGGTAAAAGCGCCGTTGCTAAAGTCTGCCACAAGAAGGGTGGAGAGAAACTGCACGGCCGTCGTCACCGAAACCTCGAGGACAATGAGGGCCGAGATGGCTGTCGAGAGGCCAGTGCCGCGCAGGGGCAGACTCGGCGTCAGCAACAGGCTGCTCGGGCTCCCATTCAGAGCTCGCATCATGGAATAAAATGGTCCATCCACCAGCGGCGCGCCAACCCGCTCCAGGATAATGGCCGCAAACATGGCCGTCGCCACGCCGGCCTGGGCCGTCACCACCGCTCGCAGAATCGCGGTGCAGATGGTGACGATGCGCGCGGTCCAGCCCGCTTTGACGACCGCAACCCAAGCCCGGCTCGGCTCTCGCCCTGCCCCTGTTGCCACGGACTCGGTCCAAAGCCAAGCCACGGGTACCACGAACAAGACGAGCATGAGCGAGCCGAGACCCAGAATGAGCATGCTGGCCATCCCCAGCCGGGTCCACGGAGAGACTTGCTTCATGGCAACGGCGGAATCATGTGCAGCCGGGCTCTGAGTCTTCTCTGGTGCCGTCATAGGACATGGTGTATACGCGACATCAACCGTGTCACCGTCTTTGGGGCCTGCCATGGCGGCTCAGCAGTGGCATTAAATTGGACTGGAATGTAAACGTCGGAGGTGTAAGCCATACAGATTCCTTTAAAAAGAAAGAAGAGAAATCAAGATAATAGGAAAATAAAAAAAAGAGAGGAAAACAAGAAGCAGAGTCGAATCGTGTACTATATATATCAGAAATGTGACTCTGACAGGATCATCACATTGGACGTTCCAAGAGTCGGTCCAGACAGGTGCCAAGCCTTTCTACAGCCTTGCTTCTATTGTGCTGCATGTGCCTTGTTGCATTTGCCGATAGGGCAGCAGTGTCTGACAGCTCAATTGTGATGATGGTGAGTGTGGCTTGGCCAAGCCCGGTCATTTCTGTTATTGGGCCGGATACCCAAACCTCGTAAGCTCGGCCACCTTTTGTCTGAGACTCGCCATCTTCTTGACAATCCCGCGGCTACTATCTGGGCTGTGCTTCCCTCCCTGATCGGGCTCTGTCTCACTCCTCAGCTACGATGGCAGGGCCCGAGATGGGGCCAACCCCTTCACTGGCCCACGAGTCGGGCCACGACACTCTGGCTTGCAGGCTCATCACCACCTTAAAGGTCAACGAGTGAGTCAACAGTTGACCGTCCGCGTGGACAGGCGCATTCGCTCTACACTTTCTTCATGTTGGTGGTAACTACCACCCCCCGTTACAAATCCGCCTTGCGGCTGACACACAATGCCGCCTGCAAGCTAGCTGAGAATAAAAGGGCCATGTTATGTTTGAAGTGTCGGATGGGTAGCCTTTGTGTCAAGGAAGACAGACGTCTTGGGAGACCTGTGCCGATCACAACTTCTCACACTTGACATGTCCGGTAATCCCCAATGAGTTGGACCCTTGAAATCTCCGCTTGCGGCCCGAGCCGAGTATATCGACGAAATGGTGCGCAAGGTGGGGGTCATACTTGAGCTATTCGACCGAACCAGACCCCTTTGGAAGTCAATCAACGCCGCTGGGTGGTCGAATACTCATATCCGCACTGTAAATGGGATGTGGTGGGGGGTTTTGAACGGGCATACTTGAGTGCACATCCGCCAACAAGGAAGCCTACCAGCCCTGCTAAATGCAGCCTTATCGGTTCCGCATGATGCTTCGACCGATTTGCAAGACATACAGAGTGACTGTTCCAGAAACAAGACCGCCGATGAAATCCCAGGGCTCTCGCACAGCAAGCGTTTTTCGTCTGGTTTAATTCCATAAGGGCTACATATGTAGCCGCCACAATAAAGCTCATCTAACCCATGCACGCAAAGCATCTCATGCTAGAAGTGCCTCCGTATATGCCTCATCAGGGCATAAATTCATAATACGCCGTGGTTTCAATTTCCAGCTGTAAAGCGTTATCACGGTTATAAAGCCGGTTAGTCTGGTCTTTCAGGTTTGGATAAATGGATTATAGCTTATTAGGTCTTGGATCAAGTTCAGCTTCATCTAATCAGCAAGTCGTCGGCGACACCAGCAATCAGGAACTCACGGCAGACACAAGTGCACTCTCCGGGAATATAGAGGCCTATTCCAATTACAATTCTGAGTCAGACGCGAGGTCGTCGACGTCGTCGTAACCATCGACCCTACAAGACGTCGTGAATTGCACCTCTGCAGTTATTTTTATTTCATGGAGACGCCATATCAAGGCTGTGCCCATCTTTTTTTAACACGAGGCTCTGGTCATCATGCTCAGACATTGAAAGCCAATCATGTCAAGATGTGCCGGTTTACTGTAAGAAACGATCCAAAGTATCACAAAATTGCCGTGAGCATCGGGTCGAGTAAAGTGACAAGGTCTGCCTTAAATAGTTGTGATTTCCAAGACTGCACAGTCGTCGTTGGAACTTTGAGGCGTCTGCGAATCAAACTTGTCTTTGGCTACTTTGGAATCCGGCATTGCCGTGGCGCCAATAGGCGAACGCAACCGCCTTCTTTCAAGAAACGGTTTTTAATTTGCAGACCCTTGTCAGGAATCTTGTTGGAGTCTTGGCGGCATTCAATGCTTATAAATCCGGTGTATATAGGACCAATACCCCTCAAGGTAACACCAGGCCCATAAGCCGCGGAATGTCGCATCTGAGCCTTATTCCCTTGTGGAAACAGTTCATTATAGCGTACAGGGATTATTCAATTTCACAGTGTCCCCAGGCAACTTGATTTAATACCAGGGTTGTGGTCTTGAGATCCGTTAGAGGTACGGTGTGAATACTGTCACAAACGCGTCATCCTCTATTCCTTTAACTACGTGATGAATTGGCGAGAGAGTGCAATCAAACGGGCGCTAAAATATAGAGTTGGCCATGGCTCTGGAGACTGGGGAACCTTTCATGTATTGGTCGGGATGGTTATAGAAGTATGGATACCTTAACCATATAGAGCGTTGTAACGGCTTGGATACGAGGTTGGGGGTTGTGTTAAATAGCCCGAGCGGCCGAGATGGTTCGACTCTCTTTATTAACAGATTGAATAATTTTTGGTGGAGAAACAAGTCAATAATTGAATGAAGATGGTTCCACCAAGATGGTGGCGTAGCTAACTCGCCATACACCTACGTTATACTAATGTGTTTTATCATTCAGGGGCGGTGTCCTGATTGTATGACTCGGGGATTTGGTCCCTTCGGCTGCCCACGTATCTATCAGCATTCCCCTCAAGATTGCAGAAAGACGTCTTGCTTGTTTACGAGACGCTCAAGTCCGAGCCAGCGACGCGTGGGAATCATGGATCATGCTCATGAGTCGCCAATTCTTGGCCAATTTGCGCATCGCGAAAGCTGCTTCTATGCTTACCATCTCCATGTACATATCTGCTGAGGATAAATAGGCAAGGCTGCCCGTCCAAATCGCTGCGTTCCGGCTCCTCGGTAGTAACTACTTGCCTGTACTATCTCACTTGTTTCTCTTCTATAAACCTATTATTAGCAATCCAGCAACAACTCCAGACTGACAATGGTAAGCAAGGTTGCTACTACGTTAACTATCGCGCTTTGTGCTGCTTCAGCATCAGCGGCAAATATTAACAAGAGGATTATTGGCGGAGAAGACGCAAAGAATGGTGAATTTCCATTCATCGTCAGCATCCTCAGTAACAGGGATCATCCGTTCTGCGGAGGAAGTTTGCTAGATAGCACTACTGTTCTTACTGCTGCCCATTGCATCACCGGAGCATACTCGGTGAAGGCAGGAACGCTGGTACGTACTTTCAATGTTGCCTTCCACTTGGCAAACTATTGCCTTGGCTGCTAGGAGTGCGCAGAGCTAATTACACGGATCCAGAACAGCTACACGGGCGGAGTGGATGCAAAGGTTGCATCTGCCAAGATTCACCCCGACTACACAGATGGCGAATCTCCTTGGCATGATATTGGCATCTTGAAGCTGTCAGATCCAATCGAGCAGAGCGCAATTATAAGCTATGCGAGGCTGCCGGTGAACGGCTCAGATCCCGCCGTCAATTCCACCGCAACCGCCGCAGGCTGGTAAGTGCTTCGTATAGCAGGACATGGTCGGAACAACGCTGACGTATAGGACAAGGGGTACGCAAACAGCTCCCAAGTACCACCTGGCTGGTATTGGCGCTGTTCGACTAAGCAAGGTTGTGATTCCTATCCGCGCACGCCAGCACTGTTCAAACTTGAACCCGCGTGCGGGTGTAGATACCATAGTATGTGCCGGTGGTGATGGTAAGAATGTATGTATAGGAGATAGCGGCGGTCCTCTTATCGACCGAGAAACAGGAGAACTCATCGGCGTTGCGTCATTTGTCATCAAGGATGCAACTGAAAAACACTTCTACTATTGCAACCTGTCTCCCTCGGTGTATACCAGAGTCAGCCGTTACATCACCTTTATCAACGAAAACCTTGGGGAATCTGGCTATACTATTCCCGAGCCTCTGAGCCCTGAAGCCCAGAGAATAGCCAAGACCACGGAGCAGGTTGAGTTACATTGTACCCGTTTCATGAATGATGCGGATGCCTGTATGGCTGCAGCGCCTCCCTGTATAGCTGAAGCCGAACCCTACAAGACAACCGACGAGCTCCTCCGATGCGTTGACAGAATGCAAGTCTGTGCTAGCCAAGATGAGCCGGGCAAACTTAATCAATGCATAGAGAATGCAAAGGCGTGTGTTGGAAAAGAGGAGTTCACTTTCTGGGACCTCGACGCGCTTGCTCAGTGCGCCAAGAAAGATCTATAAGGGCCATACTCTCTGATGGCTACATGTGTGGGATAAGGCTGCTTTTACTGAACTACAGATCTTCTAGTTTAGCCGCAATTTATGCTCTGAAAAGCGTATCCATGTATACCGATCTGTCCAACTAGATCCGATGCCAACCTGAGCCCTTGTCGTAGATGTAAGCAAAGCTGCTGGTGCTGGAGCCGGATCCCTCATTCGTGAAAATGACGCCCAAGGTATACACGAATCCGTACGTGTATTCTTTATCGGAGGCAATGGGGTTAATATTGGATCTAAGTCGTTTAAAGAGCCTCTTTTAAACGGCCATCTCTTCATAATAGATGCGTGCCTGCATTACATACACATCACAAAACGGCATGCCCAAGTTAAAGAAAGGACTCAATCGGGGCAAGATAAGCCACATAAATCCACAAAAAAAGATTCAATTAGTAATATAAGCTTCATTAAGTCATCATCCCACGGGCTTCAAAATGGTTCAAAATCATGGCATAGCCGGTCATTTGGCCGCCGCCGAGAACCCCTGGCCACATGTACAGATCGCAACATGATAAGCGATTACTTGCTTATTAGCCAACTAGTATTATATCGTATTGACCTTTTCCTCTACGGTTACACCGTCCGAGCAAGTGCACATTCTGCCTAGACGCCATTCGTACTTGGCTGTCCGAGGCCTCAGAAGTACGCATGCGTCTCACAGCGACGCTTTTATCCTGAGTAACCGCTGCCATTCCCTTGCATTTTTTGATAGCTGGGTAGCACAAATTAGTAACACGGGGTACTCTGTACTCTTAGAAATAGCGGTTTGGTAGAGCAGAGTAGCATCCATGCCGCATGAGGCTGACTGGTGTGTCCTGTGGTGCACTCGTAGCTGCTTCTCAGCCAACCGCTTACAAAAGCCCGGGGGAAGAAAAAGAAAGAAGAAAATGAAGCCAGGAAGTGTCGCATTCCAGCTTGACCATGCCTGGCTATCATTTTCATCACCATGAGCCACTTGCCCAGCCATACATCGTCGGCTTCAGCTAGAGTTCCGTCTATCATACGGCGCAAGCCTATCCCGACAGAATCCGAGACTGCTTCCAACACCACCAGTACACGAGATAACAGTGGCCAATGCGCAGCCGTCAGTGCCGAAGATGGCGACGACTGTACCGGGTCGGCTAAGCAGGTTGACAGTAGTCAACCAAGACGAGCCAACCAGTTCGCCTTAGGGAAATGGGAGACATTGTCTCTGATCATAAGCATAGCCAGCTTTTTAGCTGTAGTCATCATATTGAGCGCATGCAAGGACTCCCTACTACCGGACTGGAGGATGCCAGTTTCAACCAACGCCATAGTGTCGATACGGTGGGCGCTGTTTAAAGGTTCCCTCGCCCTCCCCGCCACAGAAGGTGACTCTACACTAACATTCTTATAGGAATAAGCCAGCTGAAATGGATATGGCTCTACAGGAAGCCACACAGCCTCGCCGATTTAGACTTGTTCGAACAAGGCAAGTAGAGGAGCATGGGGCTCCATTTTGATGCTGGGTACTGAGACAATTCACAAGAGGTCCCAAGCCGCAAGTTACATACAGACCGCGGCATAGTATTTCAATGCTAAAGCATGTACTTTGACAGTCACCTGGCTAGCTTCGGCGCTCTCCTCGCGCTCACCACGCTGGCCGTCGACCCATTCCCCCAAGCCAGTGTCTCGTTGAAACACTGCGAACATGTCACTGGCCATGTCGCCAGCATCCCACGAACAAACAACTACACGCGTAATGTAGCGCTTACGGGGACACACGCCAATGCTCCCGATGCCGGCATGCAGCTAGCTATCTACTGGGGTGTCCTGGAGCCGCCGGACAACAGTTCCGTCAGCAAACCGTCGACCCTAGACTGTCTGACGGGCAACTGCACCTTTCCGGCTGAACAAGGCGCCAGCTGTACCAGTTTGGCCATGTGCGCATATGCTTGGGACGTGAGCGATTATATAGACGGAGAGATGGTTGATGAACGACGCAACTTCTCGCTGGGCCCGGGTCTGTCCCTATGGGGTCATCTCAACACCACTTACACGCAGGTAGACGGGCCGCTAACTCGCGCCACGACAGTAGGGGTGGTCAAGGTCCGTGGAACCAGACAAGCATGCTAGATGTCCGTGTACTTGGCATGCGCTATCCAAAAGGCTCCAACTTTACCTCTGACTATTCTGAGGACATGGTGCCTGCCGCCTTCATCATGTCGTTTTGGCCATGGATACAGAGCTTTGCGGCCAATATCACGAGGAGGTTCTCGGAGAGCAACGCCTGCACTGGGTATTTGGGAGAGCCGGCTACCAGCTGGCCGTCAACGAGACTCTCAGCAACGGCTCTTGGAAGGGGTGTCATGGCCTTAACAATTGACAGCACAGATGCCAACATTGTGCCAGTGTATCCACCGCCGCCAAAGTACGACAGCACCGACGACAACGACGACGACTACTCCTCTCCGGGTGATCCGAGCTGGCACACTCAAGAGTGTGTCTTTGGCTTAGGCCCTGCCCCGGCCACAGTCCTTGCTGAGTACATAGGGGCCGAATTTTTTTCGAGTCTGGTGCGTTGACAATGGCAGCAAGTCACCCCGTAGGCTCTGTATGGATCAAGAGGCTTTGGCGTAGTGGGAAAATTGACCTCAACCACCAGTGTCTCCGGCTTTGCGCGTGGCCTGGCCGTGGCCATCGGAGCGCGGATGCGCACCGACTCGGGCAGTCCGGCGGAGCTTTCCCGGGCGAGCGGGCGACAAGACGAACCGAAGTTTGTATCCGCGTAGAATGCGGATATCTCAGCTATCCTCCCGCTCTGCTCGGGTTGGAACTGCTCTTCTTGGCGATAGTGATGGTAGTAAGCCACTGGAGCAAGTAGCGTGGCGGCTGGAAGTCATCTAAACTCGCTGTTGTGTTTCAGCACAGGACATCTGGATATTTCTAGCCGCCGGAGCGAAGGAGATAAGGCTGAACAGCAGCAGCAACAGCCTCCGGTAGAGATGGCCATGATTTGTACAGGGCTGCAAAGGCGATGCAGGTGATCAATAATATTTTCTGAAGCAGGAGGGCGATGGCAGCTGCGGAAGGAGCGAGATGCCCAACAAGGCTAGTAAACACTGTTCAAATACGGTGCCCGCACGGTGCCCGCACCGCTACAGGTCCCTATAAAGCCCTACTACTAATATCTTTTTATTCCATGTAAAAAAGCTTTAAAAAATGCTATCAATTAGTATTATATAATTAGTAATATATAATATAAAGTGTATTTTTAGCGTATATAGCAGCTTTTAACACCTTAGAGCACTTAAATTACACGCTGCCGGCACTTTTGCTAGCACCTAGCCGGTACCATGGTTTTACCTCATAAATTAATAGCACCAGTATACCACCCGTTACACCATGCTGTTACCGTACTGGATTTTTTACACGTCTGGCGCTACCAGGTGCTATCAGGTGCCGGGTTTACGTAGTAGCGCACCACTGACGCCACATACTTTTTTGTGTTAGTAGCCCCAATAACCTGCGACAGTCGTGGGACTTGTCTGGCCGCTGCCATGATCCGCACCTGGCATATGTCTAGATGTCACGAGATGCAGGGGGTACTAACACACAAAAGT